CAATTGACATGGCCTTGTGTGTCTGTTAGAGGAAACAAGGAAAGTCAACACAGTTCCTTTGCTCCTTAATTCTTTTTTAAGCTCTCAATTCCACTTTATTTCTTGCCACTTTATAATCAAAAAGTAAGCAACTGCAGGATCTGGGCACCATCATAGTCACAAGAGAACTTCCCAGTATACCATGGACTTACTGTTGCTCTGCTGTCCCTGTCTGCCTATCATTTATACCCAGCACATACCACTATATAGATGTAATAGTAACAGCATCAAAACTGAAGTCAGATTATATGTAGGACTCCCAGCCTGCAGAGTGCTTGAAGGTGAACAGCAGCAGGTAAAACATGGAGGCAATGTGAGGTAACTGTCACAGGACAGTTTAGGGCATTTTGATGTGGGGAAAGCAAGACCAATCTTTCAAAGAAAAGGGATCTGCAAACAGTCGGAATAACTGGTGTGGTTTTGTTTTTTAAACAAACTTTCAAACAGTATCTAATTATCTGGGACAGCAACAACTTCAAGGCCCACCTGCATTTCTTTTGTAGTGCAGAGCTACAATCCCGTCCATGTAAAGACATCGGAAGAACACAAAAAGTCAGACTTTCAAAGCTGCGCCTTCTCTTTTGTCAGCTGCATATACAGTGATGCCACAGCAAACCCCAAAGTCAGTTGTGTATTTCCCCCCTCCCACCCAATACTGAGTTTAAGGACTCCAGGCACCATTTTAAATCCACATAGAGCAAGATGCATGGATTTTGATTTAATCTTGGCAGAGCAAGGTTTAGGTTTAGCTTTTTCCTACTAACATCAGAGTTTTGGGCCTGGGATAATGCAATATTTGAGTCAGAGGTATTAACCCCTTTGTTGAGAATGTTTTGACAATGCTGTCTAGAGCTGACTTACCATTTCTGTGATAAACTCTATTACCAGGTCCTCAAGAATGTCCACTGACTCTGTGTAAGGGTTCTGGTCATCCCCGAATCCATACATCATGCATCTTACTGCAGAAAGAAACACTCAACATGAGGCTTCTTTCATCCATTTCAGCTGCATGCATCTAGTTAGAGCCCACACATATGTAGAGGATGGCACTTGTCTGTTGGGCCAGATGATTCTTGAACAAACGTACAGGAAATAAGCAGACAGACAGAAGGCAACAAAACCCCAGTGCTGTATATACATAAGCATGGACAATGATAACCTTTAAATATGGATTTATCCTACCAGGTACTGACAGTGTGACTGACCGCTAGCACACTTCGGTTCACAGAATGAATTAGCAATGTTTTTTAGGGGGCCTACACAACAGCTTTGTGCACTTTCAGCCAGGGCACAGAATGGAAGTCGCAGTTTTGTTAAGTAAAATAAGTCTGTAACTCCACAGCTACCTCCTCAGTGTTTCAGCTGTGTTTAGGGGAAGGGCATTGTCCTTAAACCAATGCTGCAGTAAGTTCCGCAGCAAGAGACCCGTAAGCGCGGCGCTGGGCTTTCTGGCCGGCACTACTCACGTTCTTTGGAGAACAGCCTCTTCCTCTTGCCTTGTCCACCATCCAAGCCGCCTCCAGCTTCTTCCGCGTCTTCTTCAAACTAGACGAGCATAGCGGAGGAGAGACGGCCGTCAGCGTTCGGTGCGGCGAGCCCCCTTCCCTCCTCTCCCCACATCTGGGATGTGACCCAAAGGCTCCCGCCCAGCAGGAAGAAGAAGCACACAACCCCTTCCCATCACTCACCGGCGCGTCCTCCTCTTCATCAGCCATGCTGCCAGACCGCGCAGGGCGCTTCCGGGCGGCCGGAAGGGCTTCCGCTTCTCTAGCCCCGCCCCCGTGGGGGAGGCTCCGCCCGCCGGTACCCCAGCGGGGGGCGGTGGGTAGCTGAGTGCGTGGCCGCGGCAAGCACCACCCTGGCGGGGCGGCGGTTCTGCCTCCAAGGTCGGTGTCGTTTCCGCTGCTTTGGTGTCAGAAGGACTTTAACGTTGTGAGTTTTCTTCAGGAGGAAGAAAGCCCCCGTAAAGTTTTAATTCCCTTTTGCAGGTGTAGACCTTGCTTCTTGTTTTAGCTCTCTAGCTACAGCAACTACCTATGTACCCACTTCCCAGTGCAGGCAAACGCTTGCCTTGCTTGAGAAACGGTTTGATGCATGCAAAGAAACACGGAGGTAGGACCAGAGAGCTCTCTCTCCCTGGCTGGGGTGCTGCTGCCTCTGGCACCAGCCTGTGTCAGTTATAAGGACTCCAGAGAGGTCGCTGACCCAGCACACACAGCTTGGGGTTGGGATGTACAGGCACTTGCCTTGGCCCAGAAAGGGGTGATTTGGGGACTGCAGGGAGAAGCTGGAGTATGGACTGTTTACCTTGAACCAATCACTATTGCTACTGACTGTATAACTAACTGTAAAGCAAATAGCTTTGCCCACAATGCAAAGATGAGCATGCTTAAGCCTGTAAAATCCTATTCCTGCAGAAGCAGGGATGCTGAGCATCCTTTTCTTCTTGTAATTTCTTTAATTTACAAAAACAAAAGTTGTATTTTTCCAGATTTGAATTGCGGCACAAACGAATTACTCTGAGATTGATTTGGCAACCCTATCCAAATCTGTATATGATACCCATTACTAGGATGTCAGACGAGGATAATGTGGTTTGAAAGGGGCCTCGTGAGGTGTCTGGTACGGAAACTTCTTGGAGTTACTCAAAAAGGGTGAAACGTCCATCCACTTTCTTACCCTGTTGGGTAGTCTGTGACATGTTCTCACCACGCAGTCACGCTTACTGCATCTCCTCTCATCCCAAAGCTTGTGAAGAAGGTACATTTATCATTGTAACAGGTAATTACGGAACAGCTAATGAGATCAACTTCCTCTTTGCCTTTCATTGGGAGTTGATTTGTGACTTAAGGCTGACTGTTCCTATGCACTTACATACTAAACATAAATGTGTGTTCTTCAAATATGAAAACCAGTGGATGTGATGTATCAAAGCTCAAAGTAAATTTCAATTTGCATCTTCCATTTTTGGAGAAATAGCAGCTACAGTGTCACACAGAAGTCAGTGGGCCTGTTACTTTGGGGTTTTTCGCTGGTACTAAGAAGCTGAAAGACGGTACACTGCTTTGTGACAGGGTCTTATGGAAAGAGGATCCCAAATGAACTCCTGGAATTTCCCTTTCAGATCCTTTGTGACTTGGGAGTCAACACACTTTTGCTGATGCCCAGGTCTGTTGAGGAGAAACTGAAGATGAAACTTAATATTAAGGTAAGATACTGGTGCCTGCCCTGTCAGGCTCCATACAAATAAATGTCCTTGTAATCTGCATGAATTATAAATACTGAAGACTTTATAGCTCTTAGACCATTAAAAAACAAAGAGGTGAAAGGTGAAAGTAAACTTGTAGGGGTTTTATTCCTTTTCTGATCTTTCTTATAAATGCCATGGTTTTAAATACAGGCTAAGTAAATATAGATACAAAGGGAGAAAACTGCAAGCCGTTTTAGTGCTTGAATGTAGCACCAATATGGCTTAGACAAGACAGAAGACTGGGCTTTAATTTTCTCTCTATTGTTTTTAGCATGAGTTGGGGTAAGTTCCTCCTTCTTGCTTGATAAAGTGATTATGGAACATGTAATCATGCTTGGCAGGTATTGTTTCATATTTTATTTTTTCCATCACAAGTTTCTAGAATTTCTGAAATCTTTTGTAACTGGGGCCAAATAACATATTTTTTCAGATGAAATAGAATCTCTAAACATCAGTGCAGCATCTTTTATCATGTCCAGGCACAAAGGCAGCTGCGGTTCTGACGTCCTGCTGAATCTACACGGATCTTGATTCGATCTTGTTTTGCCCTGTTAAATACTACTTCTGAACTGTACAATAGCTTACATCCTTCATAAATTGTTGTGAGCAGTTAATGCTGATGCTTGAGAAACACAAGTTTCTTGTGTCTTTGTGAGGTTTTGGTTTAAGAAAAAACTTCCTCTTAATTTTTCCTTATAAAGAAAAATCCATTATGTCTCCAGTAGGAGGCTTACTCTCCTAGTGTAATAAATGCCTTGTTCACACAGGGCAACGTTTTTTCTCTAGGAAGCTGAAGAAGGGAAAGGTGCAGCCAAGATACAAACGTTGGAGAAGCAAGAACATACTGGAGAGTAGTCAGTCTTGATGAAGCAGTGAAGGATCCCAAGGAACGAAATCAAAGTAAGTGAGTACAGTGCCTTCTGGTGTCTTGAGTCTCAACAGCCTTCCCTGATGGAGATTGGAGCTGGTGCTATCCCTACACACCACCTTCTGTGCTTGCATCAGGAGTGAAAGCAACAGTCTCATCACAAAAGATCGAGTGGAGGAGAACTTCCTGGAGAACAGCATTAGCAAAAAGAGTACTAAAATTTATTCCCTGCCCCACAAACCCCCTTACTGCTTGGCATACTATGTTCTCCATCATTCTCAATGTTTTTCAAAGAAAATACTGGTTCATGTAGCTACATCTGTGCAAGTGGTGGATTTATTGTATTGTATAAACTTTATAAATGTGTCATAAGTGCACAAATGCCACTGCAGGTTACTAGAATACAGAAATGTGAGCTACCTTTCCTGAAAAAATATCTGCTGCGTATTTACATAAACACTTCATGGGTCTCAGTAATTACCTTATTGAGCAAACCAGTTTTCTGTGGTTATATATGAAATGCGTAAAAGCAGACTAATTATATCTGAAGTAATTAGAGATCCAGTATTCAACAAGTGTTTGGACAGTGTTAAATTAGTGTTAAAATAAAGCTGTGCTTACAGGCTTAGTGCTGCAGGTATTTCTTAGGAGCAGATCAAATTGCAGTTACCACAACCAGTATTAATATCATTTGTACATCTGAGGAAGGCCTGCTTTCCTTTTCATTGGTGGTGCCAATTGGCTGTAAATGCATCGGATGAGAAGAAAAGCTACAGGGCTGGTTATAGTATATTGCAGAGAAGGTGGCTTCTCATCTAGAGGGCTGTAGAGGTAAGTCACACCTTGTAATTTATTCACTAGTCATTTTTATTTTGGGATGTAATATAAGGTCAGTTTGCCTTTTCTTACTTCTGTTCCTTTCATCATAGCATGCCCAGTTTGTAGGACGGGGAAAACCCACAACTTACTTCTCCCTCCTTTCACTCTTCTGTGAAGGGGTTCTGGTCCTATTTTGTTTCCACAACACTTAAGCAGGAGAATGCTGTAAGAAGCATAAATAGAATTATTGACATAGTACCTGGTCAAGGTCCCTACTAAAATGCATTCTATGCTATAGCGACTGTTGCAAAAATACCGGCTTTGTAGTGTCAGGGTTATAGTAACAGACTACACCACACCCCAGGGGAAGAAAGACGAGAAAGTACTGCTGAAAGAGCAGAAAAGATGCACAAAGTGAAATCCTTTTCCATAGAAGCTAGTACTCGACATCATTTCTGTAAGTAACAGATGCGGAAGAGGCAAAGCTTTACAAGGCAATGCTGGTGCCTGCAGTGTGGTGTATACACCGCAAACAATTTAAGACATCAAAAGCTTTTAAAACTGAAATGATCTCCACTGCTTCAGTACACTACCAGGCCCATCACTGATCAGTGAGGGGGGAAGAAAGGGGCACCGACTCCTGAGTGTAATCAACTGTGGTGTTCCCTCCTGCAGATGGCTGAGCAAAATGCGAGTGATTCCAGTGTTTGAATCGCTTGTAAATGAAGATTTTTGACCAACACAGCAGAAAACTGCAATGTGTCTAGAGGTAAAGCTCGTTCTTCATGATAAGGTTGTACCTACTGTTTTTAGTACAGCAGTAGCAAAATACATGACCTTAGCTCTGCATGGCTTCCACTAAGGAGACACCTCAAGGCAAGGATCATGGGGTCCAGTTCACAGTCTGCTGCCATTTCAAAGCATTTTTAATATAAATGGATTTACCAGCCACATCTACTGTATTAAAGTGACTAATAAAAAATTTCCTAGCACTTTAAGGGGTTTTGTTTAGAAGAGGGACTAAAAACGAACTAACCTTCTTTTAGATATACAGGCTTATCTTCAGAGGCTCTTCAGTCAAGGCTGAGATCTTGGCAAGATTTATGGTCATTTTAAGATACTAAGAAAAGATTATTTCCAAAGTATTGCCCTGCATGTGTTCATATGTTAAGATACTACTGCAATTCCCCCTAGGATAAAGCATCCCATTGGCTCATTTGTTCTGGAGCATTTTGGTATTAAGAGGTAAAATATTACGAGAGTCACAGGTTTGATCGCTGCTAAGACGTGGAAGCTAGAGATCCAATTGACCTATTGACAGCACAATGCAGAAGAGTTACAAAAATAAGATACATGAGAACTCCTCAACACACCTTCAACAGAGAATGTGGCTGTTTCTACTCAAGGTCACCTTAAAGCAGGCAGGTTGCATAGGGGCTGTGGTTTAGCCCCTGCTACATAAACAGAGAAGCAAACCTGTCATTCAATTCAATTTGGCAAGTATAGTTTGCTTAATGTTAGAGCTATAGTTTTTCTTCTCTAGACTAAATGCCTTTTTATGAATGGGATTACTAGACTATCATCTCTCACATCTTAAACACAGTAGAGCTTAGGCATGCAGTGGTAGCTCTTTGAACATTTTGGTGGAAGGAGAGGAAACGATGCATTAAACCCTAGCTTCTCTTTAGAGGTTCTCTTTCCCTTTTTCTGTTTGGCAGAGTCACAGAGGTTTTATAAAACAGTTTTGTAATAACCTGGATAAATTCATAGTGCAAACTTCCTGAACCGATGAGTTTCTTAAAGAAAAACTTTAGCCTTATAAATATTTATTTATCAAAAAATGAAGCCTAGTACCTTGGGTTATTTACAACAATCCAGATTTGTACCTTTTGTTCTGGAGGTGCTGAACAGGTGAGGAACCAGTCTTTTCAGCTGGCCTCTACCATGGGCAGGTTTCCAGTAACATGGGCTACAAAACACCTTAGCAGATGAACCCCTGAAAACTCCAGGGAACTGTGGAAACAAAGAAGAGATGTTGACACAGCTTGGAGCAATACAAGCAAACTCGGCCACTGGCTGTATTAAATGTAATTTCCTGCAATGCAGTACAACTTTGGTAAACAACAACTACAACTTGCTACTGTTAACACAACTCCAAATAGAATGGCAAAGCCCACTAACACGCAGCACAGGGACTGCTGCCCCCTCGGAGAAAGGCCAAAGGAAGGAGCAGCCTTGAAAACGGAACTCCATGCACATGCATGGCTGCAATGGAGAAGAGCTTTACCTGACCAGGAATAGCTGAGGAAAGCATCCCTGAGTTTTCTCCTTTACATACTCCTGGATCTCCAGTACATTCTTTAACAACAGTCCTCTGGAAGCTCGGTCAATTTTTGTTAACACTATCTGCATGGATCCAGAAAGGGAAAATTAAAAGAGGAAAAGAGGATTATTTTGCTGCTAGCCTGAAACCTGCTAAGAGTCCTGGACCATCCTCCAAGGTAGGCTGAAAGCTCTGAATCATATCTGGGGGGAAAAATGGTACAATACAGTTCACCAAAATGCTTTTCTAGCTTGCATAACTAGCAGAACATTTCAAGCTCCTCAAGCTGGGCACCGAAAAAGAAAGCTTCCATTTAATAAATCAAGAAAAAAGTCCCTTAAATTCCACTTACCCCTTTCAACACATTTATTAACAATAAAGGGGCTGTTACTGCTTTGGTAAGATAACTTGGATAAGCTCAGGTAGAGAGTACATGCCTTTATAGATGATCTATAGTTTATAACCAAGATAAGAACAAAGCATTACCTACCACATAAGGAATCCCAAACTCTTCCAGCATCTCTACTGCAATATGATCTGTCTTATGGAGTCCTGCTACACCATCGACTAACATAAAGGTCCTCTTCAAGCTGCCAGAAACACAAGCAACCGTTGTTTCATGCCTGCTCTGCTACTTCCAAATTCATAAGCAAGAACAAGTAACACAGAATCTGGGGACAGGAAGGGCCAAGAAAATCCAATCTCAGGAGCCAAGGGCCAGCATGGAGCAGCATCATAATCTTCTCTCTTATTTTGATCTAAGCATGAATCACATTACAGTGATTCCCAGGGAAACAATGTCAGAACTAATCAACAGTACCACTGCTGCTCTTCCTGCATTTACCATCTAATTACATGACACTGTATCAGGTTTTCATTGCACTGTAGGGCCCTTACTTGTGCCGTTCCTGCAGGTAAGCCTCCACCATCTCCACAAAGTCTTGCGGGGCACGGTAGCCATATCCTGGCATATCCACCAGAGTAAAGTACTTCCCTACTTTGAAGAAATTCATCTTCTTGGTGTGGCCCTGTGGAGAGTATGTAGGTAAGGTGAAGGAAGGACATGGTTTTAAAAAGTTGCTTTAAGCAGTCGACTAGGAGATGAGATGTCCCACAAAATGGTACTTATCTGTACCATATCCTACACCACGCTATCCCCTGTCCAAAGAAGGCTGCAAAAATACTACAGTTGCTCTAAGCTGCCTGGTCTCCTGCCTTTGTAGTAATCCTTTGTGGCTCTATCCTTAAAGAGACTAAAAATGCCTTCATGGGTCCTCTGCTCAGCTTGCACGACTCTTCTGTCTGGCACATGTGCCAGCCCTGGCTGTAGGGCTAAACTAGGCTCCTTCCACCTTCTCCTTTGCTACGGCAAAGCCCACATCAGCCACAGGCTGGCAGCCACCATGGCTGGCACGTTCTCCTGCTGCTTCCAAGAGCTTGGTTCCTCCTGCCCTTCTCAGCCTCATCCTCTAGGCTGGCACCAACCGCTGACCAAGGGTGCAGGAAGCTACAAAGGTCACTCACCGGGGTTTTTGACACTCTGACCTCCACTTCTGGGGACAGCGAGAACAAGGCCCGGATTAAAGATGATTTCCCCACGTTGCTTCGGCCGATGAAGCACACCTGCAGGAGGAGAGGCAGTGAGAGACTCCACACCTCCCCTCGCCAGCCCCCCCGGCCGCGCTGCGGTGGTACCTGACCTCGGGCAGGGCGAGCAGCGGGGCGTGTGCCATGCGGACGGCGGAGCTCACGTAGTCGATGGGGTGGTCGCGGCCGGACTTGAAGAACGCTTCTGCGCGCTGCAGGGCGGGAAGGCCGGGCTGGAAGACGCGGAATCGCGCCGTGTCGGTGCCGGGAGCTAAGTACCGCTCCAGCTTCTGCAGCGGGAACAGGAGGCCGGTGCGGCGGCCCTGCTCCAGCCGCAGCACCTGCGCCAGGGCCGCCAGGGGCGGCGGGGTCCGGACCCCCGCCCGCGTCAGCAGCATCCCGAGCGGGGCCGGCGCGGGCAGGCCCGGCCGGGCCCCGGAAGGCGGAGGGCGGAGCGGGGCCCCCAGCTGCCCCCGCCCGGCCGCTGCGGGGAGTGCCCGGTGCGGCCCGTGCCCTGATCGCAGGGCGGTCCTTCATCGGGGTCTAAGAGAGCAGCCCGTCTCTCGTAGGCTCGGCTCGGCTCTTTGTGTCTGGCTCTTGCTCGTCTTCTGTTCTTTACAGACCCAGGAACATAGCTGGGCTGCTGCGGGCTCTGTACGCTGGAGCCCTGTTTGGCCACGAAACGGGGCAAAGCAGCAATGTCCTTCAGCACGCTCCGTCTGTCCGCTGCAACGATCCGTTTTCCTAAGAGCTGGTCTGATGTTCGACCTTGCACCCAGGCCAGCCTGAGGGCCCTACGGAGCCCTGCCTTTCCTTTGAGACAGAGACACATTCTTCTTCTGCCATCAGAGTCCTCTGTATAAAGCCCTGAAAGTTTGGCAGGTTTAATTATTGCAGTGAATAGATTTAAGGCCAGGAAGGACCATTAGAAGATAACACAGGCTATATCCTACTTCTCTTTTACTGAGCTTGGTTGCAAAGCTCTAGGGAGGAAGTTCTATCCCCTAAGAAAAGGCCAGACAGCAAGCTATATGTTCCTCAGACTTCAAGGCTTTTGGAATAAAACAAACTGTCTTGGAGATACATACGCTTCTTCTCAAATTCATGATCCGTGAAAGCAGTTATGGTGACAGGCTAACGGTGTAAACACAGGGGAAATAAACTGTATTCTGTGTTAGCCCTGTAAATTAGGCCTCTTATAACCGGCTTTGTTTCACAGTAAGACAGAGCTCAAATGCTCCTACCTCAGGACAGGCCACAGTCACAGGCTGCTATGTGCATGCTTAGAAAAGCACTCCCCAATAAATCTACAAATTACCTTTATTTAGTTCTAAACCAGGTCAAATCCACAGAGAGGTCTCTCTCCTGCCATCCCTAGTGGTGCAACAGCCATAGGTACATGGTTTTAAGAGGGAGAATAAACCTGTAAAGAATTACTTCAGGAGCACTGCTATATTTTTTCTTGTAAGGCAGCAGCCTAACTTATTGAAACCTGTGGTGAGTCTAGCAACAGGAAAACTGCAGTGGCCAGAGGTGCTGCTTGTAAACACTCTGGTGAGCAGGTTTCCAATTTCTGTGCCAACTGTGACATGCGAAACAGAGCAAGTGTTTTGCCTCAGCGTCCCACGCAGCTCACCGCTGCTGACAGCAGACCTGTCTGCTTGAAATTACCCTGCAGTAGTTATCCCTTACCAGGTACATGCTCTGCTTTAGCCCTGTAAAAGGGCTCCAGCACGAGTGTGATGCAAACAGGGAGATGAAAGGTACAGCTAGAGCCTCGGCCCTGGCAAAAGCCCACACAAAGGGACTGTGCAGCAGCACAAATCCAGCGCTGCAGAACTGCGCTCTCCCAGGGGCTGAACTGTTAGGAACCACTGAGCAACTTCACAGCATCACGCTCTGAAACACACAGGAGGGTAGCTAAAACCAGCAGTTGGTACCTCAGTAACTGGGAGGGGAGAAGGGGGAGGCAAGTCTCTTTGCTAGAGGCATGATGTACCTATAGAGCTCTTTAATGGGGCTCTTGCAGAATGGCTAAAAACAGTAAGGTAGCAAGTGAGAAACAACACAGAGGAAACGGGATATCAAGCAGTTGTTGATGGTCCTCTGTGACAGACTGTAATCCAAAGAGTCAAAACCCAAAGGTTAATTGAAGAAACACAAACATGATTTTCACTGTCAGAGAGCAAGAAGAATCTTCAGAAAAAAAAAAATAAAAAAGAAAATAATCACAATTTGTGATCAAATTAGGCCTCACCCCAAAGACAGCTGGACTAGGCTGCACCACATGCTGCTGTAGAGAATTCTCCCTTCCCATTTATCAGGAGTTTTCCTGTCTTAGTTTCCAAAATGACCCTAGATTCTTTGAGGTGCCTGGGTGCATTTCTCACAATTAAAACCCAAGTAATTAGGACCCTGGAAGCTTCTAATTTTCATGACTTGGATCATTGTTTCTTGCTGCTTCTGCCATTTAGTGCTGAGCTATGTCACCCACAAATTCTGTGGCTGAAATTACGGTAAGCCTCACACTGCAGTGGTCTGAATGTGATCTTTGCATCTTGACAGGCCTCTAAACATGAGAAATGGTTGTTTTGCACTTAACCAGCAAACAACACAGCACTGAAGCAGAAGCTGCACTGACCAAGGTGCAGGTTGCTGTCTGGGACTGTTTCATAAAATGACTTTTGGAAAGCACAGCTCCAGCAACAACAGTCAGCAGCAATGAATGAGCCAGCTTGTGCCCAGGCAGCCCTTCCTGATGCTTTGCAGTCCCCTTCCTGGCTGACCCTTTGAGTTCAAATTTAGATTGGATATAAGGAAGAAGTTCTTTACTATAAGGGTGGTGAAGCACTGGAATGGGTTGCTCAAAGAAGCTGTGAATGCTCCATCCCTGGCGGTGTTCAAGGCCAGGTTGGACAGAGCCTTGGGTGATATGATTTAGTGTGAAGTGTCCCTGCCCATGGCAAGGGGGTTGGAAGTAGACGATCTTAAGCTCCCTTCCAACCCTAACTGATTCTATGGTTCTATGACAGTGACTTGTCAGCAAGTTGACAGCATATAGCAGCAACATGACAAATGCAACCTGCTTTGTGTCCCACCCAATCTGCTACATCTCCACAATGAGATGTTAATGATATTCCTGTGAGACGTCAGCTTACATAAGGGCAGAAGTGGGAAGGTACTGCAGCAGCAGCTTTACTAGGTCTAGGCATGCTTGCCTGTGTCTGTGTGTTTCACATCCCCAGGTTACAGAGCTGTCGGGCCTTTCTACACCCTTCACAACCCTTCCAAACACAGCCTTTTTCTTTTCTTTTTTAATTTTCTTTTCTTTTCTTTCTTTTACCCTCCCATTATCTGTTATAGCATCTATTTAATTTTTTGGTGAATTGGTTACACAGCTGTTAGTAGCTACCTGGGCTTAGAATTGGGGCATTAATATGGTACAGAGAAGGTAAAACACAGAAGACAAGGCACTAAACTCCTCTGGGTGCTGGGGCTCTCTGAGGGGGCAAGCCTCAGTTTGTCCACAAACCTCAGCTGGTCTGAGGGCATCAATGAACCTCGGCCTGATTTATTAGCTTTGTAGTACCTTGTGCACATGGACCAGGTTTAAGACTGACAAGGTGGGTGATTGCCCAAACCCCAGGACAGAGCCTGTCTAAGGCTGAGTTAGAGCATTACAGGTGCAAGGAGGAGGAGAGGGTAGAGAATGGGGAACTCCATGGCTTCCACAGAGCTGGAACATGATCCTGATCTTTGTTGTTCATTCATTGCTTCTACTCATGACTGACCACATGTCAAGGTCTGCGAGCCTCATTTGACATCTGAACTGAAGGAGCCATGGCCAAAACCTCACCTAAACTTCAGTAATTAAGAAAAACATCAAACCACAAACCAAACAAGCTTTTCAGTCCCAGCACACTAACATACAGAAATGTTGTTTAGCTTTATAGGAAATGCTATATCACTGCACTCCCTCCTTCGTGCAGCTTTTAGGCCTCTACCTTGCTGCCCCTCATCCTTTCTAGTGTAGCCAGATAAACTGGTGTAAATTGCTGCCTTGCGTGGTTGCTGCAGAATGACACCCGGAGGATGCAGACAATGATTCTGCCGACACAGCGCATGAAACTGCTCCTGTCACATTTATAGACACAGCCCCATTCCATCCATCTGTTGTCATCTATGACTGTTTGGTCACAACACAGTCTGAACTCTGCAGAGCTGACACAATGCGAATGAACAGAGACAAGAGCTAGAAGAGCAAGAAATTTGGAGGCTATCAAAAACTACTGCTAATTCTTTGTGGTAACCTAACTGCTTTATCAAAAGGCTAGCAAGCAGAAAACAGCACTGACTTTAACTGATAGCTGTAGCTACTGTGGTAAATGGGTTTCCACAGTGCACATCATCTGACTGCACGCAAGTCATGCTCAGCTCAGTCTCATTTCTGCAGCAGCTAAGCACGCATTGAGCACCTACACATCTACATGCAAGCAGCTGCTCCACCAGCAATCTTATTGTAGATTAAGACCATCCCCAAAGCTGGAACTCTGCTTGGCTCTTACTAAGAATGTCACAGACAAAGCGAACACACAGAGAAAGACTTATCTTCCTTTTCTCTCTTCACAAACTGCAGGGCAAGTAAAGGTTTTATGGATACCAACAGAGATGTGCCTTAGGTTAGCAACAGCCCTCTGGTGTCGATGGTATTCAGGATATGTTCTTGTTGAGCTCTCCTTATTACATTTCTTTTCCCTTTTCCCAGATTGGTCAGGTTTTCATCCAGAAAGAAAAATATCTCATATCATTTGTTGCAGTTTCTATTTGAATGGCTTAGAGTCTCTCTATCCTCCAACAGGGATAAAAGAGATCAGAGTCATGTACCAGAGCCCACAGGGTTCTGTAACCAGCCTTGCCCCTACTCCTTGGTCTATTTACTCTCCAAGTCATCACAAATCCTTCTGAAGGAGGGTGGATAGAGCAGCCTAAGCCTTCTACAGTCAGAGTTTCAGCCCATTCTCCTGGGCAACTGCCAGAGCAGCTAAGAACTTTTCTTCCTTTCTCTCATTGGCCACCCATCTTACTTGTGTGTTCACCAGGTGATAATGAAAGATTTGACTGGAATGTGTGAGATTGAATTTATAGCTGTTATAGCTGTTTAGGTATCAATTGGCAGGCTTCTGTGCTGCCATGGGGCTTGCTTGCCATGCTGTATATTAGAATCTAGTGCTCACTGGTGTCTGCTTTTTGTTTTCACTGCTTGCTGTACTGCTTATTGTCTTACACTATTGTGTCTGAAACATTTTGATAACAGCAATGGCAGTGTGCTTACACAGAGCCAAGGCCTTTTCTGCCTCTCACCCCACCAGTGAGTTGGGAGTTGGACACAACGAGCTGGGAGGGGACACAGCCAGGACAGCTGATCCCAACTGAC